TCCCCTCAAAAAAGCATAAAAGAAAGGAAGGATAAAATAAAATCGGGTAGTTACATTAATATTGCTTCTACGATCATGAGCTTTTTGCCTCCGTTGAGATGGCCAGAGACATAAATAACATAATTATAATAAATGTGTCTCCGAGATGGCGAATGATTACCCACTCGGCCACAATATCACATTTGCATGGATAAACCCAGAAACGTGTAAATTTTCATTGGAAATTTGCTATATATTTTGTTCATATATATTTATGATTTCTTATCTATACTACTATATTAAAATAATAGACTCGAATTTGCTATATATTTTGTTCATATATATTTATTATTTCTTATTAGAGAAATTATAAAATAACAAATATATATCTACTTAGTACAAATTACTTTTGTCTTCTCTGATTTGAACACCGTGATTTAGCGTGAATGTAATGCGCACGCGCAAGATTGTAAAATCCAAAAAATCCAGATGATTTCCGGAATTTTTGGAGGAATTTTCGTTGATTATTAATTAGCGAAGCTTAATTGAGAAAAAATAAAAACAAATTGGTAATCTTCAAGTTCCAGTGATGTTTAAAATATATAAAACAACAGACAATACTCTTCCGATTTATCGGTATTAAAGGCCAAAAATTCGAGTCTATTATTTTAATATAGTAGTATAGATTCCTTAGTCTAGTGGATGCCGCGCACTCGAACAGTTTTTAAAAAATGGAGGACGAACTGCTTGAATTATTTTATAAGTTTGGAATTCAGATTGAAGGAACATTAGAAGAAAAAACGTTGGGGGATATTGAAAGCTGGCTGTGTTATGCAGTTTCAACAATAGTAGAGCAAGAGTGGATTCCTGAGGGCTGTCTTTTTTCGATGGAAAAAGAAAGAGGAGAATTTCAAATTCGATTTCAAAGTGAACATGATCACTCTTGGGCGGGCGAGGGATTGATCTGTCATACGGAACACGAACATAAATTTTACAAATACCTGATCTTGATGGAATATTGGGAGGATGGTCTGGTTTCTCTGAGTTCTAAAGTCAAGAATCCACTTGCAGGTAAAATTGTTCGTGCTTGTCAGTTTACATTGGAAAATGAAACATGTATGTCAAGTTTATTTAAATACATGAGATTTTTAAAACGGATATTTAATACTTTGTCCTCTCAAAAACCCGAAAATTGTGATTTCGTTTGTACACCAAAATACAATTTATTCTGTATACCTATATGGAAAATAGAGGAACAGTTTAATCTTTTTGAGAAGTTATATTTTGGACTTCAAAACGAAATCGGAACTCCAACAGAATTAGCTATAAGAAGAAAAATTAAGGATATTGAAGGTGAGATTTATAATTCAGCTTCATCGACAGTAGTGCAAAACAAGATTCCCACGTTTTTTAGAGTTTCAACTGGAAGTCAAAGGGAAGGATTCCGACTAGAAAAATCTGACGACGATTATCTTTACTGGTGGGCAGATCACGTGGTGATCAGTCATCCAGAACAAGAAAACCAATATAACAAACGTCAAACAACTCTGATCCTGATGGAGTATTGTGATGATAGTCCGGGATCCGCTCTTTTGAAAGTCATTAATCGGTCTGGATGTAGAAAGGTTCGTAATAGTTACGTAAAATTGGGAAATAAAACATACATGTCAAGCTCAAAATACAGAAATTCTACTCGAGGATTGGTAGTCAAAGATTAACATGTACATGGACCTTGTGCAAGTGGCCTGTTGAGTAATGGAATACGTTACGATAATGCTCATTCATTAAAGAGTGACTTTTTCCCTGGAGAAGCAGCTTCATGGATAAATCGGTGCATAGAAAAGGGTTGGCCTTCCAAATCTGTACTAGAATACGCCGCAAAAACAGGTTGTCATTTTGTTCCTATTGGCCGCAAGGACTCATCACACCAAGAGCACGAATGGCGCATTTCTTTTAACCTAACCGAACTTGAGTGTGTACATTCCATGAACCATGTTCAGTTTATGTGTTATGGGTTCTTCAAGATATTCCTCACTGATGTTATCAATCCAAATTCCCACAATAAAGATCTGCTGTGTTCCTATTTCTTGAAAACTATAATGTTTTACATGATACAGGAAAAAGAGGAGTCATTTTGGATCCCTGAAAAGTTTTTAGAATGTTTTTGGCAGTGCTTTAAGTTCCTGATCTTTTCTGTTTACAAAGGGAATTTACCAAACTTTTTCATTCAAGACAATAATATGTTTCAGATTAAAATTGTAGGCTTTAGCAAAGAAAAGCTGTTTGAAGAACTTTATAACCTTTACAAAAAAGGTTATGAATGCTTGAGCTCATGCATCGAAAAACATATATTACAACTGAATGAATATGAAAATCGAGCAGAGTATATAACACTTTGTTATGAGATTTATGCTTCTCTTGGATTGTATCTGGAATTCCCAACATCTCAGTTCTTAAAAAAGTATCGCTTTAAAATACTAAAACTATACCAGAATGGAAATCTGCCGGGATTTTTGGAAACAACTCTTGCTGTACACATCTGTGCGATTTATATAAATACGTGTTTTCTTCGTCTTATGGCCCCTCGAAGAAAAAGAAAAGCAGAAGCGATGGAAAGTTTGCTGTACAGAGCAGCCAAATACGGATTCCTTTCAAATAGATTATTCCTTGTGATGTACCTCTACAGAATGTCAGACTTTAAGAATGCCAGATTTGTTGCCGAAGAGCTGTTAAGAATATTGAGACACACTCGTGTGTTATAATTACCAGGAACACGTGCGAATATTGATTCGAAGTGCAGCTTACCATCAACAGAGTTACCTGGACAAGTGGCTGTAAATATAGCTCTCACCACATATATAAAATTTCTAAATGAAATTGAATTAGAACGAAATGCAATACAGAAGACTACTTGCAAAGCTTTCCATATTCCACCACTTGTGTTGACACTTACGCTCTTAGTCCTCTGCAATAAAAAAATGAAAAATAGAAAAGGCCATACCGCTGCTCTAAATGAATTGCAAAACCTGCTAGAGAACGATGCAGGGATATTTGTACCTGTACATCTTAAATATATCTCGTTACAGCTACTAGGAATCTGCCAACAGTTGTCCGGAGATTACCCTGGTGCGTTGGATTCATACAACAAATCCCTTTGTTGTCTAAATTCCAATTTGATTCAAGTAGCTACAAACGCCAGAATACAAGCGTGTAAAAAATCAATGACCAAACTAAGGAATGAAAAGCGCAAAAATGCAGAGAGAAATAATGTTTTATGATCATTCTTGCGGAAAAATAATTCATTCTACAAAACAAAAAGGACATTTGTAATTTAGTCTTAAATATTTGTATAAAATGTGTGACTTCGTAAAGAACCAAAAAAATTAAATTACATCGATGCATTTTAAAATATAAACTTGGTGTATCAATGTCATAGCTTCTTATGCTGGTAAAAATTAGCAATAAGTCCTTTAGCTTAAGTAAACTGAATTTTAAAAGAAATGTGTATGTATGTACACTTGGTTATCATATATCCGGTTTTTTCGCGTGTTTGAAATTTTGCGAAAAATGATAGATTTGTGCAGTTTTTATTTTGCGTAAGTTATTTTTTACGATTAAAAAATTTTAAAATGTTAATGTTTTATAGCACACAATAACCGACGTAATTTCTGCGTATTTTATTTTTTGCGAATTAAAATTGACCGCAAAAATGCGAAAAATAGATCATTACGAAAAAAAAAACGGATATACGGTATTTATTTGATACTTAATTAGACAATGTGGTGGATGGTTTTATAAAGGTGATCATTCCGATTGTCTATACAATAACCTTGTCAGCAAATACAATTTATCATTAAGTCATATGCTGACTGACGTTCTTCATACTTATTGTTAGGCCATAATTTACGGTTCCATTAATTACACACTGAATTGTCGACAGATTTTTCCGTTATTTACCGATCATGAGGCACACGGCGAGTGTGACCGGTGAGCAGGGGATGCTCACTAATACATGGCACCTTATCCCACCTCTGATGTTTTTTGAGGTCCGTGTTTGCTCTGCTCCAGATTTGTATTTTTTTAATGGATTTTGAGCTTGAATACTGTTTGTGATCTCCAAATTACATTAGTATAAATAATGATATACGGACATAATTTTTTTTAATTCTACCGCGCAGTGACAAGGTTTCGAAAGTCGTAGATTTTAATCCATTTCATAAAGAAAATTACACTGAATGTAAATATTAAGGATTTAATAATTTGTTCGCCCTCTATCGATCCAGTATTTTATCTATGGATCTGTGTTTTTCACGAAGAGTGTGTGAGAAAATTCTAAAATACATTATGGATAGGTTCCGCATACCATTTGAGAGTATTTTAACCGAACATACTTTAAAAGGAGAAAAAGAAAGAGAAAAAAGCCAACAACAACAAACAAACAAACAAGACAACAGAAAACACAATACAGAAAACAAGAAACGCTGCTCTTGAAAGTCGTAGTACTAGTATGTCTCCTCGATCGAAGTGGTGTAACATAAGATTTGAAATTTGAAAGCAGATAGCAAATAATATCTTAAGATTTTGCAAAATTTTATTTATTTAAAAAAAAAAAATATTCCCCCATATTTGTTTCATGACAATGACGACTATTTTGGATATTTAAACCTTAAAATCTTAGATAGACACTCACATTTCAATATTATTTTCACGTAGTGAAATACAATTGAACGGAAAAAATCGTTTGTACCATTTTTTTCTGAAACCAGTTGCAAAAATAAATGGTAGTTACTGAGAAAAATGTGATTTAATTTTTCAAGTTTGAGTGTTCAATGGAACAAGTTGCCATTTTTAAAAAAAATTTAAATGTTAAGTGCACAACTAGACTTTTTGTTTATAATTTTCATGAAGATTCATTACTCTGTTAGATTACTTCAAGAGCGCTGGTGGGCAAATTATAGAAGGGACACTTGTAACAATGTTTTACTCACCTCCACCCCCTATATATAAGTACAGGAATGATATTATATTGGGGATTGGCTCTGGCGTAGATCGTACTCTGTAACTAAAACACAGAATATGATTTCCCCCTTAAAAAATGAATTATGGAGTGATATTTCTCTTCTATGGTCATTTTTCCGTGGGGGAAATCCTACACTAGAGCTATGTTCCTGAGAGAATTCCCGTTCTAGAAACAGTATTCCTAGTAGGTAAGATTTCAGAGGGGAAAATCTACTCTACAAGAACAGTGTAAATAAATAACTAAAAACGTACTTCAATGCTTATTGAAGGTTAAATACTAGTATTTACTACAATTACATCATTGTTATGAATATGTAACTTTTAAAAGTAATAGGAAAGATTTCTTGTCCTAACTAGTGGCTAGCATTTAAATAATTCTTATAAAGAGTAGATGTAAATGTATAACTAACTATTATAGTGAAATTTCGGAAAATGTTAACAATTTTTTATTTAGGGGAAAACAAAACAATATTGGTTACAAAAAGAAAATTAATTCGAAAACAGGCATTCAAAAACAGGCTCTAGCTAGCTTGGTGTAAAACCTTTGCTTTTGTTCTTTTCTGCAGAACATCATTCACTAATCATAAGATTTTAAACAGTTCTCACATTCTTACAATCACATAAACTCTTATCTTGTTTTACCTTGTTTTACCTTTTATATTTAAAAAAAAATACACATAAAACAAATCAACATCTTTTCATAAAGAATTTATTTCTAGATTTGTGAGTTATTTGTATTGAATTGCATTAAATAAGTATGGGCGCTTTGATATTATTTTATTTTAAGTTTTATTAAATTTCTTAATAACTTGATATTTATATTGAATTCAAATCTAAGCATTTCAATGTATATGAATGTATTTTTCCTTGCTTATTTGTCTTTTGCACTTTGTTAGTTTACCTATTCAGTTTTGTTGTTTATTCCATTTTTATTTATGTATTTATTTTATTTTATTTTATTTTTTTGTATCTTTCCATGCATATTTGCCTCTTGCACTTTTTTATTTACTTATTAAGTTCTGTTGTTCGTTGCACTCTTTTATTTTATTTTCATTATATTGTATAATGATAATATATGCTAGGTAATGACTTTTGTGTATAATTTATCCTTTTCATTTCTTTCTTTTCTAGTTTACATTAGAAATTAATATAATTTATTATGAACAATTTCGTCATTAATTGTAAACCATTCTTAACATTTGTAACCTTGACCTTCTTGGAGAGGACTTATATAGGCTATGCTTGATTCTAATCCAATTAAGTGATTTGACGTTACATAATAAAATACTGATTTAATTAAGTATGGGCGCTGTTGTTTTGGTAAACTCGTGCCTTGACGGAGACGGTGATTTTTATTTATTTATTTATTTTTTTTTTTTTTTTTTTGATTGTTTTGTCATTATTATTATTATTATTATTATTATTATTATTATATATTTTTAATTTTATTTTAAGCATTGATTTTTTTTCTGTATTTATCTTGTTGTGGGAGCATATTATAGGAAATCTAGTATATATTCGCTGAAAAAGTCCCACTTCATTTGAAGCTTAGTTTAAACCATACTTTATTTGAAATATACAAGATTGATAACATATTAATGACTCTCCTGATAATTTGTTGAAGTAACAGATACTTTTTGGGTAGTACAAAATAATGCGATAGAGATGATTATAATACAAAAAATGTTTGAGTTTGAAGCCACAAATATATATATATATATATATATATATATATATATATATATATATATATATATATATATATATATATATATATATATATATATATATATATTCTTCAATGTAAATTAAGAATGATTTTTAAGCTTCTATAAAGGAAAACTTGATAAATATGTATTATTGCAACAATAAAGCCTGTACAATTGCATCTAGTAATTAATGTAATATTTTCAGTATCGATTTTCCTCAAATGTAGTTCAATTCTTATTGAAGGTATTTCCATCCTCTCAATTTTATGAGTTCAAAGTAGAAAAACTGCATTTATCTTCAATGAATATAGTTTAGATTAACGAATAATCGCAAAAAATATATAGGTTATCATAATTTTTAAGATGTATGACATAAATAAACAGATGTCAGCATTAAAAAAATGTACATTTTTAGTAAACAGTTTTATAAAAATAATGTAGAAACTGGTTCAAATACATAATTGTGATTCTGAAAGTTCCAAAATAATTGCCTCTCAATTGTGAATATCAGGGAAACCATTTTTACATTAGAAGTACAGTAAGGAAAATGCCTGAATATAGATACTTAAGAAAGAGTTATTGCCTTAAGCAACACTTTTAAAGATTGAATAATTGATTAAATAAAAAAAAATATTCATTTTTTAAAATTCTTTTACTAAACAATATTTGTTATTACACCCATTGAAAAACATTCTTCTAAAAGAGATGTTTCTATGGGGTATGAATTTAAATTAATAACCCTTATTTTATTATTTATTTTATTTTTTTTTATTTCTTTTTTTTTTGCAAAAATCTATGACATCACAGGAGGGTGGAAATACCTTAAGGTCACAAGCAACGCAACTTACATCTACTTTGCTCTCATTGATAATTTTCTAAGATATACCAAATTTAAAATCACAGTACCATGTTCCTAAACAAAAATTCAGCATTCATTGGCGTTTAAGGAGTTTTAAACATATATTAAACGAGGAAAATCCTTGTGTATATTAAAATATATTGACAAAAAGACAGTTCTGGTTGGTGTTTCCTCCTAAGAAGATGGGCGAACATAGCATGCAGAAAGCCTATAGCTTCAGATATATATCAATCATGTTCAGTTTGTGAATTTTGACAATTATTATTGTCTCATTATTGAAATTCATGAAATTATGATAAACAAAACTTTTCTGAGGACAATTTTCTCAGCAAAATTTATTCTTTTATTGAAAAAATATTAATGTGGTATTCGTGATTAAAAAAATATTAATGTGGTATTCGTGGGGTTCGAACCCTAGCAATAAAAACCCTGAGTATCATTTTCTTTCGAGACTAGCACGCTAACCACTAGACTACACAAGTCCTGATGAAGAGTGGCATTTAACTCATGTTTGTGATATGACCCTTGACTTAATGGACTTCAAGTATTTCTCGAAAAGATACGAATGTTATGTCATAAAAGTATATTTTTAAGGTATAGTGGGTCATTGCTCCATATTTTTGGTAACCAAAAAATGTATATTTTTATGCAAACTTTGAGCATTAACTTTCAAAAAGGTGGAGCGAAGACCCACTCATATCGAAAAATAGTGTTATAGTATGAGAAAATGACTCTTTTTGCTCGCTTTGGTGTGTGTCTAATATTTCACAGGCAAATAATTTCACTCTTTGAGGGATTTTTGCAAATTGTAGAGATTTTACATAATGTATATTTTAATGTTAGACGAAATATCAAGGAAAATTCTGATATATTTGAAATTTAATTTTTCATCTTCATGTTTGTCACACTATAGGCTTACCGCTCGTCATGTTCACCCATCTCCTTTGATTCAGAGGAGGTCTTAAGCATTACTAGGCATCATTAAATTACATAAAGATCCCTCAATTATTGAAACTCTTTAATTATACAGGGAATAAGAAAATAACGTTTAAAACTACGTTGTGTATGTCCTTAAGTATTATGTTCTCGTTCAAACTCGTACTGGTATAATTAGAAATATTTAAATTCTGAGGAAGGAGCTTCGAAAGAAAAGGTTTCGCCAGACATACCTTACGTAAGATTTCAAAATATCTTATTTTTAGGCACAGGTGAGCTCATTGTTTATTCTTGCAATTAATTAAAGTTTGTCCTCAGAATTTTCTTCCGGTTTTCTTCCTCTTCTGTCTTGGCGTCTTTGGGTCGTTTTAAACCGATTCGACTTTTTTGTTTTTTTTTTTGAATCAGATAAGACAGTAAGCATTCTGATAATTTTAGCTTTAAAGATCACACATCTATCCGGATGAGTAAGCGATGTTCTGTAAGACTCAAATGCTTCCGTATAATATCCGGACAATTGTTGAGCAATCCCAAGGACATGCCAAGAGGTATTCTTCAGATCAACGGGAACAATTCTTCTGTTATCATTATTAAGTAAATATTTCAATTCCCATAAGGTAATATCGCGGCCTTTTATGTCTCCAAGTCGTATGTAGCAAAGGATAATGAGAAAAAGTGTCAGTACGTATGGAGGGATAACGAAATGCGTATTTTCCATCCTTCCCACATGCTGTTCAATCCTTAATTCATCTAAATACGTAACGAAACTAGAGAGACCAATTTCTGCTGCTACACTTAGCATTGAAGTCCATGATTTGTCCCTGTCATATTTAATGGATTCTATCGATATAAATGAGTTTGGTATATATATAACATGGGGTTGTTTTAAATCTTTCTTTGTCTTTCTCGCATAGCCTAGAGCTTCTTCAAATCTGGACTTTCTGTAAAGATACATCACGTAAAAAATATTGTCTGATAGGAACCCATGTTTGGCTGCAACTTCTAACAAGTCACCAGATTTACAAAAATCACTTGTCATTCCGAAATTCATTACAATAAAAGCCACGTGAGTAAATAACGAACAAATATGTTGTCTTAATGCCATATTTTGAACAAGAGTGATGGTTTCCTTTTGTAGAAGCCTTCTTATGGTAAGCACATAAATCTCCACGTACTGTAATCGAGCAAGTTCTACATACAATCCTACTTTATTATTAATCTCATCGAATAACCTAAAATCTATTTCAAATTTTCTTAACCCATAAAGAGAAGTAAAGGATTTTCGCAAAAATATGTACTTTTCGAAGATGCATGGCCTTAAGCATGCATAATCCATGCTACATAACAAAAAAAGTTTTTCAAGCAACTTCTCTCTAGCACTTCCCACAATTTTGCTCTGGAACATGTTGTTTTCTTGAATAAAAAAATTTGGTAAATTGCCCTTATATATACAGAAAATTAAACGTTTAAAGCAATTCCAAAAACATTTTATCAAGTTTTCTGGAAACCAAAACGATTTTTCGTTTTCTTGCATCATGTAAAACATTATAGTTTTCAAAAAGTAGGAACACAATAGGTCTTTATCATCCAACAACGGCTTGATTATTTTGTTGAGAAAAATCTTGAATAAGCCGTAACAAGTAAATTGAACATGACTCACGCACTGTACACATTTCAATTCAATGAGATTGAAAGAAATTCTCCATTCATAATCCTGATTTGGAGAGTCTTTACGGCCAATAGGAACGAAATGACAGCCTGTTTTTCTGGCATATTGCAATACGGTAGAATCGGGCCAACCCTTTGTTCGACATCGCTTTATCCAAGATGAAGCTACCGGTGGAAGAAAATCACATTTCAATGAATGAGCATTGTCGTAGTAAACTCCATTACCCAATTTACCGCTTGCACAAGGTCCATGTATTTTTGAATTTGCAACTACTAAGTTTCTGGTGGATTCCCTGTACTTAAAGCTCGACATGTAGGTTCCTTCTTTTAATGAGACATAACTATCACTAACAACACTCCAAACAGACCATCCTTTGACTTTCAGGAGGACGGATCCCGGGCTATCATCACAATACTCCATCATAATCAATGTTTCCTTGCCGTATAGGTTTTCTTGTCCCGGGTGATAAATAACTTTGTGGTCAGTCCACCAGTAGAGAAAATCAGCGTCGGACTCATCAAATCGGAATCCTTCCCTTTGACTTCCAGTCGCCACTCGGAAAAATTTAGGATGTCTTCTAAAGGGTAATTTTACTGTCGTTGAAGCTGAATTATAGATAGCTTCTTCAATGTCCCTTATCTGTCTCCTGATATCCACTTCTGCTGGAGTACCGATCTCTAATTGAAGCAATAAATATACTTCCTGAGAAAGTTTTGATTCACTTTCCATTTTAAATAAACCCTTATGCGTGTTTTGTTAACACCTACGGACTGGTACCCTGGCTTTATTTTCTCTACTGATCCCCTAATATTGGTAAACTGTAAACGAGTGCACGACGTATGGTGTCCCGATATGGCCATTTGCAAAAGTTTAACAGCACGTTAAGAACAACACTGCGCGTTGTTCATAACACGCTGTCACGCTAACACCCAACACGCTGCCACAACACGCCGGTGTGCTATCAAACAACACGCCGTCGCTCTGACAAAACTTTACACAATTTAGTGCTTGTAAGCGCAGCGGCGTGTTGTGTAAAGTTGCGTAAGCGTGGTGGCGTACTGTGTTTTGTGTGACGGCATGATGTGTGTTAGTGTGACGGCGTGTTGTTACTGACGTCCTGATGCACATTTGCACGTGACAATGCGATAGCGCAAGGTAAAAACGCGGCGGCGCGTTGTGAACACCGCCCTAGGGCGTGGTCACTTCGCGCTGTTACACTTTTTGCAAATGACCATCATGACGAGTGCAAGTCCCAGTATAATGGGTCAGAGAACCACTGTTTGTTTGCTGTTTAACGTCCCTTTCGAGAATTTTTCACTTATATTGAGACGCCGGTGGAAAGCTGCAGACTTATACTCGGCACTCAGGGCCAGTGAGGAGTGAAGGATCTTTATCGTGCCAACACCTATTGGGTCACGGTACCTCGGTTTATACGGTTCTCAGTGGGATTCGAACCCGCGACGTAAGGATCTCAATCAACTTTTTACTCCGAGACTCTAGAGCAAACGCTCTAACCACTGCACACGCGAGCGACGAGAACCAGTGTTATAATTAGGGCTGGGTATCGGTTGGGAATTTCGTATTGCGATATATTGCGATAATTGGAACTGTATTGCGATATGTATTGCAATATTTTTGGGAGAACACTGCGTATAATGTTTAATTTTTATATAAGACAGTCCTGCGTTCCATAGAGTTGATTCTTATAGCTTGGTTTGCATGGCCGTAGGAACCGGGGGCCCGGGGGGGGTGCAAACCCCCCCCCCCATAATTTTGCCGATATATAGAATACTATAGGAAACACAGCTACTATATGCTTGTGCCCCCTCAATAAAAACGTCAAATGGCCTTTTTTTTTGCTTGTCAAGGAAATTTGGTAGTCGATATTGCCCCCCAACTGAAAATGTATGGTTGTGCCCCCTCAAAGTGAAATTGCTTCCTACGGGCCTGGTTTGGAAGTGTGAAAGGTCAAACGTGTTTGCCACAGAGTGAATGCTGCTTGAGTTGTCCGATTGGTAGATATTTTGGAGTGAAGAGTATGTGAGTGGTTTTACCAGTTTGATATCAGGTGCGCATGCTTGGCGCCAAATACAATTATTTGATAATTACTAACTCGTTCCACCTTAGGAAAAGCAGGCAGAATTTATCTCCTTCTCCATATAACCTAACATTTCATAAAGTTGACAAATTAACAGTTGCTTTAAATAAATTACATATCTTGTTAAAAAAAGTATATGCTTAAAGATAATTAGTTTAGAAATGTCATATTATTAATACTAAGATAATTTATTGTGTGTGTATATGTATTTTATTTGAGTCAATTATGTTCATGTTACAAATCACCTGAATTTGTCATATTATCAAAATATGAATATCGAACCCTTCAACTGTTATCTCTACATACCAATATATCTAGGGCTGTGAAAGGGACCTGTATGCTAACACCTGCTGGTATCTACAGGGAAATTCTACTGTATCCCCCATTGTTAATCCTATGCATATTTTGGCACGTATATCCGTTCGGGAATTAAGGAAGCTCTAAACATAGGCCCTATATTGTTTGATACGAGTCGTTAGTTTTAGAGAATTTATGAGTAAGATTACAATAAGAACAAGAAACTCGACATTTTTTTTTTTACATATCAATAGCACTGACTTATTGGTTAGTGACCATCTCTCCAACGTTTTCGGGGGAAATAATTACGAAGTATATTCATTAGCAAAGAATTATCAAATGTTGCACAGAAAATGATTTTAATGAATAAGAACTGAGACACCCTTCCTATGAGAACAAAAATGAACAGGGACCCTAAGTAAACTGGTTAGGAGAGTCATACATATGCAAGTCTCCTGGTAGCGATTTATACCACCTTCCACCCATCTACCAGAACCACTTTTACGAAATAGATTTTTCGGCTTTGGACAAATTGTTCACGGTTTTATTTTTTCGACTTTTTTTCCCAGTGGAGCGTTCCCCTCCCTGAAAATAATATTTGAATCTACGGCAATATATCAATATCCTTTTTCAAAAATGTATCATGTTGCCAATTTTGATCTTCTAGGTAGAGGTGAATTCAAAATCTACATGATAGAGGATTTGTGAATCCATGAGTCATTTCTATTTTGACTACCTAAAATGTCACCAACCGAGAAGCCTAAAACAGGACCAGGAAATGCAGTGAAATAAATCGAGACACCTCCCTTTCAGAATTTTTAAGAATTTCTAAGATTTCCGCAAATAAGATCATTCTTCATAAAAATTCTCTCTAGCTTAATTTTGTCGTATATTGATCTTATGATATTATGTTTAATAATTAAACGAAATGATTCTGATACGTCGGTCGTGATGATACGGCATTTTAAGCAAAGGACACATGTAAAGTTTGAGCAGAAGAAAAAAAAAAACATTAACAGTGATGGCCTAGTGACCTTTGCATTATTACTTTGCGTTCTCTGACCAATTCCCATCTGCTGGAAGTGTCTATTACTTTCAGAGATAATGTGTCAATTCGTGTCCTAAACTATGGGTTGTAAAAGACACAGCGACAATTTATGTTCTTCGCTGACTTTGTCAATAATCAGACTCATGCCAAACTCTCCAAGACGTGTTCATTATGGAGAAGACGGCATAAAAACAGATACTTGTCTTCTCTGCAGCAGCGAATCGTTAAATTAATTTGATCTATATTATTTGGACAAATTCAAGAAATATCAGTGTACTATACGTTTTAAAAAACAGTCATTGTTTTATGTCATCTATACAGAAGAGCACTCTCTAATATGATTGAAAGACATTTAAATTCAATATGCACCATAAGGGAAAAAATTAAAATCTTTTAAAATAACACAATTAATAATTTTGCTATTCAACTCACAAGACATAGGGTCCTTAATTATGAAAAACCTGCTCTTTAAGTAGTTTTATGTGAAATCTGGAAAAAAAAAAATATCCTAATACTGGATTGAATTTCTCTGGCAGACTGGAAATGACAGATTAAAGGAAAAATGCATTTCACATCTAGTGTCAATGATGGAATTCCTACAAGAAAATCAGAATATTACTAAAACGCAATAAAGAATGTAGATTTTCTTTTCTAGTGGATCTGCCTTTAATGAAAATGGCATCTCCTATCATAACAAGCTCTGATATACAATCTAGTCATGTACATAGGCATTAAGATTATGCTTTGTTTCTCTTAACAAATGCTTTGCTACAATATCTCACAAAATCGGGGCCTTATTTTACAAATGAACCTATGCCTATGACCAAAAATAAAATTTGAATCCCCTTTCACCCAAGGATGCTTTCTGGCAAGTTAGATTGAAGTTGGCCCTGTGGTTCTTAAGGAGAAGTAAAAAATATGAAAAGTTTACAGTCAAACATCAGACAAAATGCGATCAAAAAGCTCACTCAAGCTTTTAGCTCAGGTGAGCTAAAATTTTAATAATTTCCTAGCTGATCACAATTCTCTATACATAAATATCCTATTTAACATATTTAATAATTTTTTCTTTCCTTAAATTTGACATTGTGAAGCATATATATATATATATATATATATATATATACATGTATGTGTGTGTGTGCGTGTGTGATATTTCCATTAATGTATACAGTCTATTGATCCTCATTCAGATTCAGTTTTTCATAGATCTCCAGGATTGGAAAATTTTCTTTTGCGTTGTTGATATGCAGCCAGGTTTGTAGTTTTGTAAATTCTCTCTTAGAGAAATAAAGAGAGATAGACATATTAGTGTATGAGTTATTTATTAGACATACACTTTAATGTGTATTTATATATAAGAAAATGCATACTTTTTAATGCACAATTGTACACAGTAAATTTTGTTAAACCCCCCAAAAAATGGTTAAAAGTTAAGGTTCAGGCACTGTATATAAATATCTGTACAGTATCTCTCTTACAAAATAAACCTCTTTCATTAACTAAATACAATATACATCCAAAACAGCTGATATTATTTTACAAAATTAAAAAGTTACGCTGCTAAATATTTACAAAGCTTTCAAACTCCAAGATCTTCCCCTGAATAAAATACAGTTTATTATTGTGTGGCACACTGATCTTCAGAATTGATGTTATCCGTTGGCAGGTCTTTTTTAGATGATTTGGGGCCCCTAAAACTTGTCTGTTGTGTTACACTAGTGGAGACTTTTGGTATAGAAAAGTCCAGTTCTATTCCCTTGGTGTCTGAAAAAAAAGTATACAAGTCATAAATATTTACTGGTCCTAAGTCATCTCTTAGAAGTGAATGTATATATACAAAACAACAACAACAACAAAACACACTAGATGACAAAACTGGAAAACATTTATATTTACTAAGATAATATTATACTCATGCCTGTGGTAGTATGTCCTTGGATCACTATAAAAATATATATTTAATATTTCTTGAACTTTGATAATTTAAATATATGTAAATAAAAAGTTCAAGTCATTGACTTACAAGATTTGCATCAAATTTCATTATCTCATTGCCTAATGACATTAATGGTCCCTGAGAATCCCATAAATTCACTACCTGATTGCCTAGCAACCTTGACCTTTGAAATATGAACTTTGAGTCCTTTTATGTCACGGGTAACAATACAATGTACTTATCTGAGAAACCATTTCATGCAAGAGTTCAAGATTAGCAATCAAGACATAAGTTTAACACACAAATGGACAGACAGACAAATGTGCCAAAAGAAGAGTAATGTCTCCCAATGGCCAAACAAAAAATAAACAAGCTAATTCAGAGAATTTGTGTCCCCCGCTTAGGGAAAAAAAGAAGAGCATGCGCAGTTCGGGGGGGGGGGGGGGGGGGGGTCACACTGCCCCCCCGTATTTGTAGAATTATTAAATGAATACATGTATATTGAAGCAAATTTAAAACAAGAAGTCTGTGAGCCAATGCTCACTAATAATACCCCCGCTCTGATGTGAATACACAAGTTCAGTTATGGACAAAAACAGTGATAATCAGGAAATTGACATCGGATTTGTAAAAACTGAATCCCAACATATGGCATGCCTAAACAAAGAAAAAATTTCAAGCATCTGCGATGAGTAGTTGCTGAGAAAACTACGACCAAAATTTATTATGTATGGTACGGACAGACACACGGATAAACAGGTAGTTGACATCGGATTTGTTTCAAAAATGAATCCTATTATATGGCATGCCTAAACAAAGATTGTGCTAAAATTTCAAGCATCTGCAATGAGTAGTTGCTGAGAAAACTACGACTAAAATTTGTTATGTGTGGTATGGACAGACGCACGGATAAACAGGAAGTTGACATCGGATTAGTACAAAAATAAATCCCACCATATGGCATGCCTAAACAAAGAGTGTGTTAAAATTTCAAGCACCTATGATGAGTAGTTGCTGAGAAAACTGCGACCAAAGTTTGTTATGTGTGGTATGGACAGACGCACGGATAAACAGGAAGTTGACATTGGATTAGTACAAAAATAAATCCCACCATATGGCATGCCTAAAAAAAGATTGTGCTAAAATTTCAAGCATCTGTGATGAGTAGTTGCTGAGAAAACTACGACCAAATTTTTTTATGTATGGTACGGACAAACGCACGGATAAACAGGAAGTTGACATCGAATTCGTACAAAAATGAAACCCACCATATGGCATGCCTAAACAAAGAGTGTGTTAAAATTTCAAGCACCTCTGATGAGTAGTTGCTGAGAAAACTGCGACCAAAGTTTGTTACGGACAGACAGACAGACAGACAGACGGACAGACAGACAGACAGACAGACAGACACACAAGGGTAAAACAGTATACCCCCCTCTCCTACGGAGCGGGGGTATAAAAATGCCAATATGGATATAAAGATTTGATTGCTTATTCTTTAATATGTGTATAGAAGATTCTTTTTAATATACAGAATATTTATCACACTGTAATAATGATTTTATGAGTTTGTACACGCCAGACATCATAACTTTTTCATTTCACATGTTGAATAGTATCATTTAGTAAATCCAAAAAAAAAAAGAAAAAAAAAACATTAATAAAAGAAAAAAAGAATCAATCGGGGATTGAATCCTGGTCTCTAGCATGCTAAGCGAGCAACATACCCCTAGACCACGGAGGCATTTCATCATACAGCAAATTAAAGGCAAACACTAGGTCACACATAAAAGTCGGTAATGATAATGTCGTAAGAGTTATGCTTCTTTGACTACGTAACAAGAAGTTGATCTACTCATTTCCATAATATGACTCATATTGAGTTAAGTCTGATTAAATGCAAACATTAGGTCACATATAATGTTTATATTCACGTTCGATATTTTCAAAATTTTACACATTACATATTGTCTAATTTAGCCCATACTAAACAGTTCTAATAGATGTAATTAGAATATAAAGTCGGCCGACAACCTGTATTATACGTAATAATTCTCCACATGCCCCTGTGCTAAAAATAGTGCCAAGCGACTTTTAAATATACAATAAATAAATAAAAAAAAAAAAAACAGGGCGGGACACTTTTAGAGGGGCGAGAGATGCCATAGGGAGTTATGGTATAAAATTTCTTTGCAAAAGCTCAAAAGCTTTTTGAGATATATATCGCCCAGAAACGAAAGTGTTACACACAGACGGAATTTGTGAATTTACAACCTTGAACTTTGACCTTTTGACCTCAAAATCAATAGAGGTCTTCCTTAGGCCACAGGGAGTTGTTATGTAAAATTTCATTGCAAAAGCTTAAAGAATTCGCAAGATATCACGTGGAAACGAAAGTGTTAAAACAGACAGAATTTAGGAATTTATGACCTTGACCTTTGACCTTTTGACCTCAAAATTAATAGGGTTCTTTTTTAGTCCATAGGGAGTTGCTATGTAAAATTTCATTGCAAAAGCACAAAGGATTCTCGAGATATCACGCAGAAGTGAAAGTGTTACAGACAGACAGAAATACAGACAGACAGACAGACCCAAATTAATATCCCCTGCTTTCAGTGAAAGCGGGGGACAAATATAGTTTGTCTGGCAATTCTGCATTAGACTGAATGTTATATTAATGATAAACTTTACTGACAGATTGCAAAGGGGAATAATTTGAGGTTGTAAAAGAAACTCAACATTATTCTCCTTTTCATTCCTTACATTTTTGGCCGAGAAACCATTCATTTTTTTCTGCTTGCTACATTTGTCAAATATTACCTTCTAATGGTTCTTTCTTTACAACACTGGACAATTTCCCATTTTCTTCCCTGGTTTCAAAAAGAAAGACATGTAATTAGTTACAAATTGTGTAGACAATAAATTTATAACACCCAGACTCCTCTTCAAACATTACAGAACTGTCTATTATTAAAGTCTATCATGTTACTAAATACATGTATAGATTTATTAAGACATGTAAACAAGGGGAATCTTAAATAATAGAGCATTGTATCTCACAGTTTTTTGTAATAGCATTGCATTCAATAGTTTTACTTTCAAATCTATTACACAGCTTCGCTATGAAATGGGAAAAAAAAAATTCATCAGACATGAATTTGCAATATCCTTGTTCCCTATAGATATATTTGACTGTGTTTGGTTGTTTGATCATGACTATAATCTACCTTTTCTGTTGCCGATTTTCTTTGTAATGTCTTAGTTCTGCCTCCATCTGTGTCACTTTATTGGTCAGTTTTTTATTCTCTTTCTCCAATCGTTTGTTCTCGTTTTTCAACAGAAGATTGCTATACTGATCCACTGCTCCAGAACACGATGCCTTGTACGCGATGCTGGAGTCATTGCTGCTGGTATTACTACACTGACTACTGTTATCACTGGGCCTCCCCACTGGGTCTTGGAATAATGTCTTTTTTGTTGGCGGTATAAGAACTATACAAGAATAAGAGAGAAAATGTTTTCAACTCCCATAACCTAAAATCCCTTATCCCAGTTTATACAAAGATATTTAAAAACATGGAGTATGGTAAAGAATTTAGGGTTAATATGAAAAATGCATAAAAAATAGTAACTCAGATACAAACCTGTAGTTTCATTGTCCTGCTGCAGACGACGGATTTCATTTTTTAAGGTTGATATCCTCTTTTCATATCTGTCCACCACTTCACTCAGTTCTTGTTCTCTGAAGGTGCAGAATATATTCAATATGATGACAATACATGAAACTCAAAGGAGCTGAAGCAACAAAAAACAGTGACTGGACAAAAATCAGTACAGTGGCGCCATGTTAATCCGGAGTCCCGGACGGCATAAATCCAGATGCTGCACCTTCCAGACAATATTTTTTGGGAACCAATTTTTTCCACGTTAGTCTGTCTCGTTAATCTGGAAATTCGCGTTCCGCATTTGATTTCTACTACAAATGTAATATTCCATGGAAAACTGACTCGTTTATCTGGACGGTAATTTTTCAAGAAACAACTTTTTCGCACCTATCTTACAGAAGTGATAATTGTTGTAAAAACATTTCAATGCTTCAGTTTGAAGGCTGTTACCTGTGCCTTCCAAAACAAAAGCATCTATGTGTTTACAAGAAATAACCCAGAATAAACATATATCTATTATGAAGCTTGAAAAATTTAACTTTTAATGTGCATTTATTAAATATTACTCCATTCAGAATCATATTGCTAACGGTATATAAATTTATAAAAATTGAAAGTTATAAATAAATAAATTGTATATAAAATGAACAATAAATCACGAGCGATTTTGTAGTGGACTTGAGTTGCGTAAGTTGAACAAAATCCATTTCTCAAATCATCAATATACAAATGTATCTGAAATGTTTTGTTTTTTTTTAATTTCGTAAGACAGTTTAAAAAGGCACATAATTCAAGGAAATTTCTTTCTATTTAATGTACTACAATCTATAAACATACATTTTTTTTTAAAGAAATACATAACTGGCATTAGGTATAGAAGTCAATTATGTTTTACAAGGTATTTTTTAAAATCAAAATTTAAACTTAGAGTTTGTAGAAAAAATATTAATCATGCAGATGACTTGTGTTTACACTGAATGTTTACGTGTACTTATATTGCATGTTTGACATAGCTTGCAGTGTTCAGTTACTAGCAGTCCTATGTAATGAATATACACGGTCAGTTAATATTTGAGCATTTTCAAATATCATATCACATGAGCTTGAATAATTATAAAATATGGTGAAATAAAACAGTAGCAGATCAAAATTTGGTCAGCCCATGCATTCACACACCAAAAGGAAGGAGAGTAAAATTAAAGGAAGTCTTAGCATAAAATTGCCTTTCCATTTTTTATTGTGTAAATTAAATTTTAAATATTTTTTATAAATAACTTCCTTTAAAACTCTAAAAATAAAATCAATAAACCGACATATTTAAATATTTTTTCTTTGCCATCAGATTTGATACCACTTTTACATGTACATGTTTTGAAAGGGTATTCTGAGAAGTGATTCACTTCTCAGAACAATTCCTTTATCCGGACGAATACTTTTGGGATGGAGGCGTCCGGATTAATGAGGCGCAACTGTGTTAGGCTTTGCTATTAATTAGGTTCAGATTGATAATAAACAGCTATATCTCAAATTATGATAATTCTGTTAATTACCTTTCTTTAGTGGAGTCTTTGGCTTTTTCCAGTTCCATTCGGAGAGCAAAGTTCTCTCTCTTCTTGTCTGCAAGTTCTCGGGCTTGTGGAGTAAACATGTCTTCTTCATGTCTCTCTGGTAATGAGTAAAGTCAATAATGAAGATATTAAAGCCTTTAATTGAAAATAATTAGTTAAGATTGAACTTCTTTTAATTCCCATTAATATTTTTCACATTAAGAAATAAACAATAGTTTACAAGCATTTAACATGTAATTTCATTCTTGCAAAGAGGTACTCCATTGTTTCTTTTTCAAAACTTTCATAAAACTTGATATGGCTCTTGATAAGTACCACTATACCTGACATTTTCCTTGACTCCTTAAGCTTCTTTTCCAGGTCTAGTTTGTTTTTCTCTAACTCCGCCACTTGTTTGTTGAGATCCACCACCTGCTTTTGGTATACTCTGAGATGTTGGATCTCCCTGTCCTTGACCTGTAGATCCGCCCACAATTTGTCATTTTCCTTCTCCTCTTTGGACAGTTTCTCCATGATCTCCTTTCCCACAACCTTACTGTCCACTTCCTAAGGAGATAAATATCAGCCTGTTACTACCCATTCATAACTTTGCAAGATATTTTTAATTTAAAAGCATAGTACCATCAGACTAAAAAGTGTTCTCAAATAAGGCTCATTTCCCGTTACATAAAAGTTTGACTTGATGATGATTTAAGTTCATATCTCAAATGTCATGTTTATATCTCAAAGGTTAAATATATTTTATATAATGGGGTCCATCAGAGGATGAGCAGGCAAAAAAGATCTGAGAGAACCATTACAACTACACATAATGGAGCTTAGTCCACAATTCTCTTACATGTACAAAGAATTAGTAAAAGAAGACAGTCCAAGAAGGTTTATTAAAGGTAAGAAGCATTATGAGAAATACAGACATAAGGGAAACAACTGCCCAATCAGTAACTGCTCCAAATGTTCTTTTGACAAGAGTTACAGGTTTTGACTTGTTATACCAGCACAAGCAGTTAAATGTGTTTAGATATATTGACTCACCTCTAGCTCCTTCAATAGATCTTGAATAGATTTCTTTTGTTTTTGAATGGTTAGCCTTTGAGAATTGAATTCAGATACCAGTTTTGCTCTCTGTAATATGAAATGAAATTTATGTAATAAAAATGCTTTAGGTGATGAATTCCAATAAGTAATGGACTGTCCATTTTTTCTTCATTATCTATGAAACTTATTGATAAGAAATATTGTTATACTTTTAAAATTAGTTCCTATATAAATCTATACTAAAAAATGTCTAACATTTCTATTAAATGTTTTACTGAGTGGTCATAAAAAAAAATCGATTTTTGACTGCAGAGTGAGATATTGGACCTGTGGACAATATATTGGACTGCTTATGTCACACTGTGGGCGGGATCAGCTAAATCTTATTTGCATTTGTTGGTATGGAAACCAGCAAGATACATGTACATGTATGACAAAAAAAATTAAATAAATGAAAGGTGCATGTATAACAACACATTTATTGATTGGGTTCTTGGGCAAAACGTGTTTTACCAACCCTAACAGCCTCAGGCAAATAGTTTGGTTCTTGGGTCCAACAACGGCATGTTGCCCTCGAACCCAGTCAGTAAATGTATATTGTTCTCATGTAAATACTTTTAAATTTGAGAATTTTATGTCCATCACAGATGTCGACTCACTGATAAAGCTGTTTTTGTTTGTTAAAAAGATATTAGCCTGTTTTCAGTAATACTTTTTCATTTTATAGTACTTTACCTTACTTGACTCTGTATTTTATATACCTGTAAATGTGTTCATGTACCTCATATATCATTGTATGGTCTGGGAGTAATAAATAAACAAGAAAGTGTGTTCATCAAAATAGAAACAACTTTGGCATTTGACTTTTGAAATAATTTCCATGAGACCCTAGGTCTATAGGTGTATTTCTTGAACAACTCTCCATCTATGTAAATATATAGCATGCAGGCTAAAAACAGGTAATCAGAGATTACAGAGCTCACCTCAACAAATGTTGTCTTTAAGTAAGGTAAAGTCCCACACTAAACTAATAATCTAGTAGTGTGCATCCCTAGATGCAACATTTATGCAATTTTGGACTTATAGGGCTTGCGGTTACTTGGGAATGGACTTATCTAAAAACTTTAAACTAGTCACTCATCCAGAAAATGTAAGTCAAATCCAGCATCTGAAGCAAGTTTGAGCGTGTTCATCCCTTGATGCATCATCCATGCAAGTTTGGTTCAGATAGGCCTTATAGTTATTTGGAAAAGAGATCTGCTCCAAAAACTTTAACCTGGTCACTCATCCGGAAATTGTAGGTCAGATCCAGCATCCAAAGCAAGTTTAGTAGTGTGCATCCTTAGATGTATCATCCATGCAAGTTTGGTCAATATAGGACCTATAGTTACTTGGAAACGAGACCTGCTCCAAAAACTTTAACCTCCTCCAAAAACATTAACAGCATCTGATACCTTGACTGGTACAATGAAACCCACTAGAAGCATCCTCCATGCATCTCTGATTAATATAGGGCATAGAAGTACTTGAAAAGAAAACTGTTCCAAAAACTTTAACCTGGGACGCCGACGGTATTACATAAGTTCCCCAAACTTCGTTGAGGTGAGCTAAGAATGTCTGAGTCATTGCAAGTCTCAACCTTTGGCTTTCACCTTTAATTAGGTGCCAATGAAATAGAGGTGTCTTCCTCTAATCTTATCCCTCTATGTAGCTGCAGATCTGTAGCTTGCTGGTCTGAAAAAAATTGGGATGGACGACCAGAGAGCTACTGTGTCACCCATTGAAAAAAGTGTATATTTATTGTGCACAAAAATGTGTGCCGTTTCTACTGGTCAGAAATATAGTCACAGTGATTTCTGAAGAGCACCTGTATTTCTAACTAGGGCCCTATAAATATATCATGACGACTGTCTAGTAGTGAACAATACCTTCATTTTCTCTTCCAGGCGGAATTTTTCTCTTTCATTCTTCAAAGTATCACACTCTGATTTTATCTGCTCTATTTCTTTCTGTTTTCAATAAAAAGAAAAGAGTACTGTCTGATAAGTACAGTAAATGATTTCAACAGAAAACTGAGAAAGACTGCACACATTAGTATTGTTTCACAGTAAAATTAATGTAACAGATTTTAAATCATTTAATCAGTTGCTTGATATAGAAACATCTCTAATTTATCATAAGATGATTTCTACAGGAAATTAAAGAAATTCTCATTCTGAGCAGCACCCTGCAGTTAAACTATGGAATTTTCAAAGAATGAGATAAAAAAAAATATAAAAATTCTGTTCTGTATGTTTTATAATTTCTTTTCATCTGTGTTTACATGTATATAGTTGTTGTAAATGATGTAGCTTTCTTTCTCTACCAAATTTACCTGTAAAATCTGGGGAATACTGGCTCCTGACTGCATTTTCTTTATTACTTGTTCAAGTTCAGAGTTCTTCCTCTTGTAGTTTTGAACATTGACCTCTAGCTCTGATATGGTATAACGGAGTTCCTGAACCCCTTCCTTCTCCAACTGAGCTTGGAGACTCTGGAGCTGGGATCGAAGTGAACCAAGTTCACTGTCTTTCCTCTCTATCTCGGCCTGTAGTTCCTCCTTTACAGGATTCACAATGCTCTGGTCAGATGCCTAAAATACAAATTACCTGTGGTACATTAAGCTTTCAATGCCACTTGAAACATACATTTGTATATTTTCTGTTCATGTTTGAAAATACAATAACCTTTGAAGTAATCCAGAAAACTTAATGTAATACATGTATCAAGATAAGATGTTTTACATATAACTCTAAATTTCCTTTATAAAATGAAATGTCTTTATAATGCTCTTCAAAAAACAAGCAAGCAATTACAAGTGCCTTCCTATCAAAGACCCCTCTCAGCAAAGAAAAAAACCTAGAATGATGTAGATCATAAAACAAACACTAGACTGAAGAAGATCAAAACTCATACTAGTATGTCACTGCAGCACAGTATTTGATCTTCAAAGTAGAGATTGTACAAATCCTGATGAATGATGCTAACTGATTTCAAACTTCATTAACAGCGCAATTGAAAATCAGTAACTCACCTCTTTACGTTTGTCCTCAGTAGCCTTTATTTTACATTGGAGACCCTCCAGATCACTCTTTAGTGACATCACTTCCTCTTCCTTTGCTGTGATCTTCTTCTGTAACTCCTTGGTGACCTTTTCCACTTTCTCTTCCCCAGCTTTTAGTTCATGCTCCATGGACTGAAGCTCTTTTTCTAGGGAGTTGATTATGGAATCTTTTTCTACCATCTTGGTTTGCATTTCTTCTAGAGCAGAACTACTAGCACTTTGATCCAAGTTCTAGAATTTGATGCAAAGGTAGAATTTTTTAAAATATTTTGTTTAAAAAACCCTTTTTTTCACTCTTAGGAAAGTTACTTATCATAAAATATCTCAAGTTACAAATTTTCTTAACCCTTTGAAAACAACCTTGGGTTAAGTCCATGACATTCTTCGGTTAAAAAAAACAGCACTTATTTGCCATAGCAAGCTACAAATGTTTCTTTGAGGTCAATTCACAAATATTACTGCCAGTGACTTTGACATGTTCACGTGTCCTCTTATCAAGGTTACAGCATACATTCAGAAACATAACTCAAGGTTACAGCACACATTCAAAAACATAACTCAAGGTTACAGCACACATTCAAAAACATAACTCAAGGTTACAGCACACATTCAAAAACATAACTCAAGGTTACAGCACCAAAAACATGTCTCAAAATACAGCATTTTTTCAATTACATGTGACTGGCAATAATTGTTGCTATGAGCTTCTAATTTTTTCCTCTTGTAAAAAGGAATCGAATTTCATCTAAAAATATTTGTCTATATAATTCCCAAATACTTTGGTTATGTGAAGGTTTTATAAAGATAACAAAAGCATATATAAATCACTCGAGTGACTCAAATGATGTAGAAATACTGTGTAGTAGGATTAGAATTCACCTGTTTGAGTTCCCACATCTCCTCACTCATACTCTGTATCTCTGACTTTTGACTCTCCACTTCAGATTCCAGGAACTGACACTGCTCCTGTACATCTGCCACCTCCCTCTCTTTATCCCTCACCGTAGATTCCAGCTGCATGTTCTTCAGCTTCAGATTGTGGATTTCTGTGTTAGCTGAGGCCAGCGACTGCTCCAGCTCCTCCATGGAATCCCGCAAACTGTTGGTCTCGTCTGATAACTCCATCACACGTTCCCACCGCGTCTGTAGAACTTCTTGCTGCTTGGCATACTCTGCCTTTCCCTTTTCTAATTTTGCTTTCAGTTTTTCGTTTTCAGATGAAAGTGTCTCCATTTCTTCTTTAAGATTCTGAACTTCCTCAGTATGGCTTGACTTCAAGTTATTAACAGATGAAAATTTTGATTCCAGGGATGTTTTTTCATCTTCTAACTTTTGAAGTTCACTCTGGAATTCCTTTTGCGTTTCCTCTAATAAACAAATTTGCTGAAATAGAAAGCAAAATTATTTATGTAAATAAACAATAATTGTAAAAAGTTAGGCCACCAAACAGAGCTCATCTTAAATCTTCATCAAGTTAGCTTTCAAGCCATGATTTTTTCAGTATCAAATATTTAGTAGCACTCTGTATTATGTTTTAGAATATTGTGGAATCACTTTAATTTGGAGGTCAATTGCTGGCAAACAAAATTTTACTGGTTCACAAGGAGCCTGATGTAATGTCATGGGTAACTCATCTATAGAAAAAATTCAATTAACCAATGTTGACAATTCATGATTATGAATTAAATGAGATATTAAATTGACTGAAGAATTGATCTTCAACTGGAATAGAAAGTCATCCGTTTCTGAGATGAGCTTAATATACATGTTTATATACTGACCAAGCTGTGTCTGCATGAAGATAACAAAGGGATACTTTTCTATGGGAATGAGCAAAATTCACTGGGATAGATATTAAGAAAGATATGAGTTACATACCTTACTGTGCATAAAAATACCAAAACATTAAAACTTCTTACCTGTTCAAAATGTATTACTTTCTTCTCTTTCTGTTCAAGTGCAGACTGTAATTTTTCATTTTCCTCTTTCACTGTCTGGATTTCAACTTCCAGTTTTTGACAATAATTGTTTACCTCTTCGTTTTCCTTGTGATCTGTTAGATCAGACACTTTACCATGCAAAGCTTCAATCTGTCTCTGATAGTTAACAATTTCCTCCTCTAATTCCTCCTGTCTTTTTGTCAGGCTGGTTACCCGTTCCTTTGTTTCCTCCAAACAGTGACTGAGTTCTAACACTTTTTCCTCAGCTTCTTCCCAGTTTTTGGTCACATCCTGCAGTCTTTCATTAAGATCTTGATGCACTTCTTTCATAGAGATCAACTCCTGTTTCACTGCTTCTGCCCTGTGGGATTCAACCTCCTCCTTTTCCTCCCTCACCTTTTTCCATTCCTCATGTTCCCTTGCCTCCTCCTCCAGTGAGGACAGCCTTTCCTTCAGGTGTTCATTCTCTACTGACAAAAGTTGAAGTTGTTCCTTTGTACAGCTCTCTTCAATGTCATTCCGCTGAGATTGTAAAACATCTTCCTGTTCCTCTGTTTGTGAAGCTTGTTCTGTATATGTAGATTTCTCAGCTGTGAAGTCTTCAGTCTGTGTTTCTTGGCTGTCTTTGGGTTCTGAGATCTGCTGACTCGTCTCTGATATCAGCTTCCCCTCCAGTTCCCAAACCTTTTCACGTGACACCCGGCTTTCCTCCTGGGCTTCTCTTAGATTGTCCTCCAGGCATTCCACTTCCTAAAAAAAGGCCAATTACTTTGAAAATGCTGTATTACATAAGGTGTTTTTTTTTAAAGCTTTTTGCTTTTGAATTTGCTATCTCCATGAAAAATGAAATTGAGCTGTTGGATTGTAAACTTTTTTTATTATTTTTACATCATTTACAGTAAAACATATAGTGACATGGCGAAGTGCCATGTAGAAACAATTTTGATTTGTAATAAATGTAATTCATTATACTTCTATCTATTAAGGAAGCTATAAACACAAACAAAAAGTGCTTTTTGGATTTGGAGAAAAATATTTCATATAGAGGTGTGAATACTGAGTCTATTTAGTTCATTTTCAACATATGGTACCTGCCTTATTTCCGCAGGAAAAATGTTCTCAGACAATGGACTATTCATGAACAGAAATCACTGTTGTTTACTTACATTGGGAAAATTAATGGAAATAATGAATTTAATTACTTATTCTTGGTCTAATATAATGCTAAGACTATTTTAATCTATTACAAATTGTGTAATTAATTGTAAATAACCATTTTTTCTATCTTACTTCTAAGGTCAGCTCATTTTAACTGCATAAAACTACTCTATAAGTAGAACTCTTTAGTGTGCAGTGTTTAGAACTTCCTTAAGCATATGTTTTAAAACTATAGGGAGTGAAATCACTTTGCTGTAAGCAGGAACTCATTATAAGCCGTTTTACTGAGCATAAAATGTTTCTTTCAAAAAGTAAATGTAAAGAATAAATGAATGCTTTATATTCTGTGACAAATCACAAATAGTATAGCTTGTATCTTAAGATTGTTATTCACCTGTTGATAGTGTTTCATTTGATCCTGGAGACTGCTAACTTCTTCGTTGAGCTCCTCCACTCGTTCCTGTAGGGACACATTCTCCATGGAGAGTCTCTCACACATCTCTGTGTAGTCCATACTCTCTGAATGGGTTCTATTCATACGACTGGAACTTTCAGACCTATGTCTTGTTGAATGATTCAATTTAACATTTTCTTGAAGTCTCTCATTTTCTTCTTGTAAACTAATAATTTTGCTTTCATTCTCATTCCTTTGAGTTTGTAGACTATTTATTTCCTCCAATAGGTTTGAAATATCAGAATTCTGTCTTTGCAGATTTTCATTTTCTTCCTTTAGTTTACACATACATTCCTCAAGCCTTTCAACCTTTTCTGTCTTATGTGCAAGTTGTCTCTGAAAGTCACAAATGTCTTCTACATATTTTTGGCAACTCGAGCAAGGTCTATGTACATTATTTTCTGGCAAATTCTCACTCTGCATGATTTTTTCATGAAGTTCTACACAGAGAGCCTCTTTTTCAGTAACAGCTTTCCTAAACTCTTCACACAAAGCCTCTTTTTCATTCACAGTATGAGCCAACTCCTCACATTGACTACGCAAACGTTCCAATTCCTCTTGAATTATTTTATCTTGTTGAGATTCGAATTCCTCCTGCATTTTATGTTTTTCTTTGGCATGTTCTTTCTTCATCACCTCCACAATATTTTGAAATTGTTCCATCAGTTCTGTTGGATCTTTGAGATTTCCCCTCTCTTGTTCTAATGTATCTATCTTATCTTGAAATTCCACAATGTTCTTTTCCAGCCTAGCTCTTTCCTCCTCATCCATAGCATTCTCTGATTTTGTTTCCTGGGATTCTTCCTGGAGACTCACATTCACACTCTTATCCAGTCTCTCCACATCCTCAATCTTCTGTAAATTACTAAATTCCTCATCCCCCCTGCTCCCCCTACACTTCACACAGTTCTCCTTCTCTATGTTTGTCTCTTTCTCTACAGATCCCATTAATTCTTTTCTGACATTCTCCAGTTCCTCTACATGTCTCATTGTTTCCTGGTGTAGATTTGTCTCCAGTTCTTGTATTCTCACTGCCTGTGACCTTTCGCTATCATGAAAGTTCTCTTTGAGTCTGTTTAATTCATTTTCCCTATCTTTCAATTGGCTTTCTAAATCATTCCGTTTTTCTTCTGCCATTGAAGAGAGTTTATCCATTTCTTCCACTTGTGCTTCCACTTTCTCTTCAAGTTCAACAATTTTTCTGTTTGCCTCTTCCAGCATTCTCCTTCCACATTCCACCTTGTCCTCTACAGTTTTAGTGTCTTCTGAAGATTCAAGGCTTTTTCTCCAGTCAACCAAAGTATTTTCTAGGTTCTTGTTCTTTGCCTGAAGGTCCTCCTTTTCTGAAACATGTTGTTTAATCTCCTCCTCCAATGAAAGCACTCTCTGATGAAGCTCCTGGATAATATTATTAAATTCACTGGATTCTGCTGTGGTTTTTAACTCTTCTACTTCCTGTATCTTCTCCTCCAAAGCATTCTGAAGCTGCTTGTTCTCTGCTTGAAACTCTTCCACAGTTTCTTCAAATACTTTGATAGTCTAAAGAAATAAAAACAAATACAACCAATATATAATCAAATAAAACTTTCAATCAAATTGACAAAAGTGTCCAAGAAGTGAAAACAAGAGGCCCAGGGGCCACATTGCTCACCTGAGCACTCTGGCTAGGAAAAAGCACAAAGCAGTTCAGTCTTGAAAAGTTTTGATATAAAAGTGGTTCGAGGGGGTGGGGGGTGGAGGGTGTTAAATTGGACTAATTTGAATCTATACTTCATAGGGATGCTTTTGAATTAATATGACAAATAATGGCTTTGCTATTCGTAAGAAGACAATTTTAATTGATATATCATTTGTATTCCTTTGTTTGACTATGATCCCCTGTTATGGCCCTCTATTCTCCTGGGGGGTCGTGATTTGAACAAAATTTGAATCTACATTAATTGAGGATGCTTCCATTTAAATATGACTAATTATGGCTTTGCTGTTCTTGAAAAGAAAATTTTTGAAGATTTTTTCCTATGTATTCCTATGTAAAACTTTATTAGCCCATTGTGGCCCCATCCTACCCCCGGGGGTCATGATTTGAACAAACTTGAATCTACACTAGCTGAGGATGCTTCCATTTAAATATGACCAACAATGGCTTTGCTGATCTTGAGAAGATATTTACAGATTTTCCCTGTATATTCCAATGTAAAACTTTGATCGCCCATTGTGGCCCCACCCTACCCCCGGGGGTCATGATTTGAACAAACTTTAATCTACACAACCTGAGGATGCTTCCATATTAATATAACCAATCATAGCTTTACTGTTCTTGAAAAGAAGATTTTTAAAGAGATTTTCCCTGTATATTCCAATGTAAAACTTTGATTTGAACAAACTTGAATCTACACTACCTGAGGATGCTTACATATAAGTTTCTATTTTCAAGCCAAGTGGTTCTTGAGAAGAAGATTTTTAAATGATGCCAATTAATTTTTCACGAATTCATAATTATCTCTCCTTGGAAGAAGGCGTGGCCCTTCATTTGAAAAAACTTGAATCCCCTTAACCCAAGGATATTTTGTGGCAAGTTTGGTTGAAATTGGCCCAGTAGTTCTTGAGAAGAAGATGAAAATGTGAAAAGTTAACGACAACGACGACGACAGACAACGGACAAATTTTGATCAGAAAAGCTCACTTGAGCCTTCAGCTCAGGTGAGCTAAAAAAGGTTCTTACCTTCTCCAATTCATGTACTCTATGTTCACTCCTATTTTCATCAGTGACTGAGGAGCTCCCTTTCATCTGTTCCAGTTGTTCTTCCAAATCAATAATTTTTCTATTTGCTTCCTCAAGTTTTCTCCTTTCTTCCTCTACCTCCTCAGTTTTATCATCTTCCCCGCTATGTTGTTTTATTTCCTCTTCCAAGGATACAACTCTCTGTTGAAGTTCCTTAATAACAATGCTGTTGTCTTCATGGGATTCTGTCACAGTTTTTAATTCTTCCAATTTCTGTGTCTTCTCCTCCACTGAATTTTGTAGCTGTTTGTTCTCAGATTGGAAATCTTCCACAGTTTCTTCAAATATTTTAATTGTCTACAAGATTTACAGATAAATAACCAATACTTCATTACTATAAAATAAGCATGAATTCAAAAATCAAATATGACCTTTTAAAAAAAAATCATTTTTACCTTTTCCAATTCCTGCACTTTATTGTTGAGCACCTCTACTGTTCTTTGGTGTTCTTTTAGTTCATCATTGGAGGTTTTTAATTTTTCAACTGCCAGTAACTGTTCCTCATTTGCAGACTTCAATTTCTCAACTTCTGACCTTAGACCTTCATTAGATGATTGTAACTTCTCCACCTCTGACCCTAACTGCTCATTAGTTGACCTCAACCTTTCAACCTCTGATCTCTCCTCAATGCTCTCTTCTGCTGGTTTTCGAATATCATCTAGTTCTGATTGGCACTCCTTGACCTTCTTGTTTTGAATCTCAAGTCTGTGTTCCAAGTGGAAATTCTCATCTGACAATGCAATCATCTTCTCCTCCATGGACTTCATTTTCTGAGTTTTCTATGAGGAAATTAAAATTTCAATAACCTACTACTTTGTTTTGATAGTCAAACATAAAAAAAAAAAAATCTTTTTGAAATCTTTGTTTCTACCAATATATGAACATCATTGTCTTTACAATAAACACACACAGATTACAGATTTAGTGTAGATTTATTGTAATACAAGAATAGTGAAAATAATAATAGTGAAGATAACGAACAAATTGAGAGAATTCATGAATATCATCAATGTTTCTTCTTTTTTATTCTCCCCACCAAATCAACATAACACAGTCTGATGACTGTGGGTGTACAACTTACTTCTATGAATTTTTCCTCCAGCTCTGTCAACTCTTTTCTTACATTCTGCATGTCTTCATTTGTCCTTCTCTCTGTCTCTTCTAACTGTAAAAAAAATTAAATGTTTATTCCATAATCCTTGATGCTATTTCATCTTAACTATAGAAATACAGATTTTCAGTCTATCAAATTTAGAATGTTACACATCTTGATGTTTGAACATGATTACCCTCCATACATTAGCAATACCCATATGTACATGCATAATGATCTCAACACACGGTACAGATACCCATATGTACATGTACCAGTGTTTTCCCTTTATTTCAAAGTAAAGGGTCATAGATCAATAGTAACAGGCTTTGGGTTGAGGTTTAGGACAAATCTCTGTGCCCCTTGTAACAATTAAATTTTAATTTTTTTAATTTCAAGGCGACATTTTCATCCATTAAAGCGGTCAATTTGGCCTGTAGCCGGTTCTTAGGGAAAACACTGTGTATATATATTTAATCTTTACATATAGGACATACACAAGTAATTGAATTTGTACAATAGATGCCTGTTTGTTACAAATTATAATCTCTACACACAGTAGAGAAATCTGTGCATGAAGAATAATTTGTACTTGTGATAGAGATACCTGCAAGTACATGCAAGATAATCTCTACACACAGCAGAAACCTATATGTACATGTATAATGATCTATACATACAGTGTAAAAATCTACACACAGTATCATTATCTCTACACACAGTAAAAACCTATATGTACATGTATAATGATCTACAAATACAGTGTAATAATCTCTACACACTGTCACAGTATCATAATCTCTACACAGTAGAAACCTATATGTACATGTATAATGATCTATAAATACAGTGTAATAATCTCTACACACAGTATCATATCCTCTACACAGTAGAAACCTATATGTACATGTATAATGATCTATACATACAGTGTAAAAATCTCTACACACAGTATCATAATCTCTACATACAGTAAATACCTGTATCATTCTGTCCATGCCTTCTTTGTTTGAATGCAGTTCTAGACGGTGATATTCTTCAATTTCCATCTTTTCTTTCTTAAGTTCTTCATAGTCTTTAAGTAAATCTTCATATTTGTCTTGCCTTGAAAAAGTAATTTACATATCATTAATCCAGTGTTAGTAAACATAGGTAATCAGAGATTACTTGATGATTGTCATCTATAAAAATACAAGTAAAGTCATATACCAAATGAATGCTCATAGAAATCCATTAGTTACATGAAGATCAACATTATAGGCCTTGCAGCATCTTAAGCAAGGCGATTAGTACAGTTAAACCTCATTTATCTCAAACTCAATGGGACTGAGAAAAAAACTTTGAGATATCGAGGGTAAAATACTTAAAGTGGTTGAAACATCCAAATGCTTTTGACATATCCATGGTGTTTGAGATATCATGATATTTTTACACACAATTTTTACTACAATTTCAAATAAATTTCCATAATATTTCTTTGAAATATGCTATAAAAGCATAACTTTACTTTTTAAATTTTTTATTTATTTAATATAAAGCATCTTTGGATGCTGTTATTTAATTGTTTTCAACATTTTTTACACTTCCTGTAATTGTCATCCAACAGTTTGAACAAATGAATAAATAATTTCCGGAATTTATAGTTGTGTACTAAATATCGGTATTTTAGTTTCCGTATCACGATACGTATCACACAATAAAAAATCACGATATACCGGTATACCTATAAAATTGAACATCCCTAACCTTTTAGCTCACTTGCGCTGAAGGCTCTTGAAGGTTTTTCTGATCAATTTTTTTCTGTTGTGTGTCAATTACATCGTTTTTGACATTGTCATCATATACCTTTCACATTTTCATCTTCCTCTCCAGAATCAAAGGACCAATTTCAACCTGATTTGGCAAAAAGTATCCTTGGGTGATGGGAATTAAAGCTTGTTCAAATGAAGGGCCATGCTCCCTTCTGGGGAGATAATCAAGAAAAGCAAAATAAGTGGGGTCATATAAAAATCTTTTCAAAAGCCAATGGGCCAAAAAGATTAAACATATGTGGAATTCTGACATATTGTAGATACAGTTATATTTAAATCATGGTCCCCAGGGGTAGGGAGATACAAAGTTTTACAAGGTGTTATATACGGAAAAAATCTTTAAAGAACAGTAGAATCAGGATTATTCGTATTAATATTCAAGCAACCTTAGGTATGCAGATTCAAGATTGTTCAAATCATGACCCATGGGGGTAAGGTGGGATCAAAATTGGGGATTAAGTTTTACGAAAGAATACTTAGGAAACAATCTTGCAAAACATTCTCAAGAACAGCAGTGCCTTATTTGTCATATTAATTATGAAATACCTACAGGTATTGCAGATTTCAGTTTGTTCAAATCATGTCCCCGGGGATAGAGAGGGGCTTATATGTCATATTGAGTACTGGAGCATCCACAAGTTAGGTGCATTCAAGTTCGATCTTTAATCTTTTGAAAAACCTTCTGCAGAGCAGATAGGCTAAGGCGATTCAGGTGAGCATTGTGGCCCCTGGGTCTCCTGTTCTCTAGGTATTTTAACTTCAATATCTTGAATCCTCTGATACTTGAAGTTTTTCCTCAGTCCCACTGAGTCTAAGATATCCTGGTTTGATTGTACATGTATTACTTACATGTCTAAGAGTTCCCTAGCTAATGGATCTACAATGAAGGCTTCATCATCGTCTTCCTTATCTTCATCAGACTGAAATGTCACATGCTTCTTTTCTGCTGGCTCCTGGAGTTTTCCATCGGACTTGCGTTTTCTGATGTGAGGAGGAGATATGTCTTCAATGCCAGTTTCGTCAGCCTCTGAATTAGGTTCATAATATGGTTACAGAATTCACACTATAGAGCAAGCAGCATAGATTTAATTTATTTAATTTATCTACTTATGATTTATGTTTAGGAAACACTGACCTTTGAATGCTTTATAGGTTAGAATTATAATGATCTTAATATCAGTGTTAAGTTTTTAAAATCACTTTTAAGGAGGCTGGGGGGTCAACAAATTAACCACAAATTAACCACCAGATTTAACTTAATTTTTTAGATATGATATCTTAAGCTGTCAACTATCATTTGGCAAAGAAAAATTTCAAAAATTTTAGTTTTAAAATTTGATCATTTTCTATATCTTCATATGGAGCTCTTCTTCTAAAGGAGATCAATATAGTCTAAAAATGGCCACAACCCCCCAGCCTCTTTAAAGATGTCTACCATTAAAAAAGTTCATTCTGTTGATGAAACTGAACCGCCTGGGTGAGCTGACAGAGGCTCCTTTTCCTGGACACCATGTTTTCCGTCGTTTGGACTAAAATAGAAATAAAGGCAACATTTAAATTAACCGTTCTGTCCCAACTGTCTTTTCAAGCACCTAAAAAAAATGGCACTTTGAATCCAATTCCTTTATTCCTTATTTATCCTTTGCTTCCACTATTATAATAACTTTATCCTTGATTTTTCAACTGAAAACAATGATTAAAACCAACGTCTTTTCTAACACCACAATATGTATTGGAGCACAAAAATTTTGTCAAAACAAACAAAAAAACAATTAATCATTAACACAAAACTAACCACTATTAAATTAGACATGCAACTAAATACATGTACTTGAAGTTACTGGATACACATCCATAAAAAAAAATTATAACCAAAACTACATTTAAAGTTCATTCAAATGACAGCATGATCAACTATCTATATCAATCATAATAGAACACTGTGTATCCAAACATGAAATTTTTGGTAAAACACATCTGCATGCAAGATGAGACCCAATCACAGTGGATTATCTACAGCTGTATACCTGTGGGATGAGCTCTTTTTGCTGTGTGGTTCCCGACTGGATGACATACTTCAAAGAGTTCAAAAGGTCGTGGTACTTTTGTTCCATTTCCTCTTTTTCTTTCAGTTTCTTCTCTAAATCCTCTTTCTCTCCTTGTAACTCAGAGACATCTATATTCTCCATCTACAGAAGATACATAAGTACAAATTGATTGAATAATGAAAATGCTACAATGTACATACTCATTGATACTTGACTTTAAATTTGACCATTATATACATGTACTACATTTAAAATTTTGTAACTAGTCTTCTGAGTGACTGCATCATCTATGTACAAAAATACTGCAATCTGGCATTTGTCTATCATCACTTTTTTCCCCAGTATATTACTTAAATTCTGAATCTTTCTAAAAGTCTTCTATGTAAACTATCTCTTCATGCAGCAACATCCCAAGGAGGAGCAAGATTCTGATTACCATAAAAATTAACGCCAAAATAAATTTCCATTTTCTTGTGCTTTACTATATACAGTAAAACACGGTTATAGTAAATATGCTTATAATGAATTCACGCTTACAGCAAAGTGATTTTCAATCCTGGTAGTTTTAAAACATATTGTAAATCTTAATGGTTATAACAAATTATGTTTATAATGAATCGAAATTGCACGTCCCCAGCACTTTTCTACAAGCGTGTTTTACTGTATTCAAACAAAGAAAAGAAAAGCTTTTTTGAATAAAACTGGAATGAAAATAAAGCCAATACATATCACAATATTACCGCTTTTATTTTCTCTTGCAGTTTCTGGATTTCTTTATGACTTCTCTTTAGTAATGCCGCATCAGAGAGAACTTCATTGACTATAGGTTTATTGGAGATCGATTTGGCTCTGGTTGCAAACTGAAAGGCATTATTTTTCATGTACAGGTAACAAGTGAATTCTTACATGTGACATTTAACAGTACACTAAGGACAGTTAAAATCAAATGCAATTTTTTTTTTTCAAATCTAAGGTTCATAAACCCTCTGCTCATTCATATAAAATGTTGCTTTAACTCTTAGATTCTCCAAAAGGAATGTATTTTTTAAGTAAAATGCAAACAATTGTAGCATAGCTTGCGGTGCAAAATTGGACAAAAAAGACATTTCAAATTGACAATTTCATAAAGGAACAATAGAGAATGATGTCATTAAGAGTTATCTCTCTTATCAGAGTATCGATGAACCTTAATAATAATAATGTTTCCTAAAAGACTTTAATTACATTCAAATCCCAAACCTGCATTTGCAATCTTTTCTGAAACCTGAATTTTTCATGCAACATTAAGAAAATCTGACCTTGAGAGTACTATGAGATTCCTCCAAAGAAGCTGGGGTGATGGTGGCAATAACAGCAGTCTTAGAGTTACCTCCCAGTGCATTCTGTAGAATACGGGTCAACTTCGAGTCTCGATATCCAATATGCTGATTACTGAAAAATCCAATCAGAGTTTAGATTATATCGCTCAAGAGATATTTGGAAGGCATCAGTCAGTTAAGAGAACGTTTAGGTAAATGTAACCAATATTAATCTGCAGGTTTCTATTTGCCAGCTATCACTGTAAATCTATCAAAATTATTCAAATCTTTCAACAAGGATATAATGTGGAATCATTTTAAATTCGTGGGGGTCATTGTTTGTGGGCAACCAAAATTCTACTGGTTTGTGGGTATGATTTTTGTGGGAAACTCGTCTATACAGAAGATTCAATGAACTGATATGTTGACAAAGTTATCACTCATGGCAATGTAAATTCATGGAGAAGGCTATCCCAAGAAATCCATAAACATTGGCCCCCCATGAACAATGATGATTCCACAACATATTTCTCCCTGCTTCTGACAATCTTCCATTTAAATCTGAATGTATACAATCTGATGAGAAATGTGAAATTGTCCTCCTAACCTCACTCCCTCACTGAGTTTGGCAATGATGCGAGCCAGAGTAAAGAGAGACTTGTTGATAGAACAGCCCTCACGGAATCTGTCTCCCGTGTTCTCTCCTGCCTTCTCTGATCCTGCCAGATCCACAAAATTCTGTACAAATATAAAACAGGTGTCAGCTGGAACTCCTTATTTAAAATATTTATTAACAGTTACAGTACATATACATCCATGTATATGTATTGCAGAAAGTGAATTTATTTCTCTTTTTTTCCTCACTTGTTTTTTTTTAATGCAATTTCTTTAAAGTGACATTTTTTATGGTAATCAGTTACAAAATTAATGGATTTTGTGGGTAAACTGTGAGTAACTTAATAACAATATGACAAATTACCCTGTAAACAGGTACAGTTTTCACACTGACACAAATTCTGTGCATTAAAGACAAATCATTTACCGATTTAGATACACTATTCTAATTTTCTATAACTCCACTGACTTTGAACCTTAAATAACATTGTTGAAAGTTAATATGAAATATAAACATTCCCCATACTCAAAATGTTAAGTTATGAATGTGAAAAAATATAAATATCTCGAGTTAATTCCTATAAAGGTATTCTATAAGAATACATGTACATGCATAAATTTTAAGTACAGGTATCATGTATAAACACTGCCATACATTTGATGAGGGAAAGCTAAATATGAAATACATACCAGGTGTGCCACCATCACAGCTGATTCATCATCTACCTGTCTGCTCTCTATAATCTACAAAGTCAACTCATACAACTTCACGACATCAACAACAACAGCAAATACAATGTATGAAGATTACAAGATAAGAGTTTTGGGTTATCAAAGGCAAATTCAAGTTGAATGAATTCAACTTGTTTATAACACTACAAAATTACTTTATCACTGAGTACATTGTAAATAACAGTGTTCATAGAGAGAAGAACATTAAACATACTATACGCAGTATACAGTGAGAGCGGGAGCTTCTGTCATTCTGTTTAGTCTCTGCCATATGTCTTCTTGCTGCATGAATAAAACACTAACTTAGCAACACAGAACTATTTTTTTTTTACAAGACTCAACCTTTTCATGGCTTCAAATACAAACCCTCTCCCTCCTTCAGAACAGCGTTCAGGTCGTCTTCATTCATCACATATCGTTCCTCTACACCAATCACATTCACATTTCTTTCCTGAAAAGTAGAAAATTCTACTGAGGTAAGAACACAAAGAATACTGTATTTTTCCAAATAAGTACAAAAGCACTTACAATATGAGAAAAACTACTAAGATGGTTGTATTTCACGTTATGTACATATAAACAGTTGATTTTTTATGTATTATTATTGGTAAGTACTTTAAAATTAAAAGAAACAGATTTACATGCAAGTATACCTGACTATTCCTTTTGCAAATTTATCATTTTTCATAACTGCCGCAAAAGCAATAGTCCTCTAATTAAATTCATGATAAGAAAATCAAAAGTTGACAGAAAAAATAAAATTCCTCTTGAGATGAAAGGTTCTCTTATCCAACAAAATTGTCATGGGTTCTGAATGTAATAGCAGCTATGTGGTTTTACAAATTCTTTTATGAAGTACACATGTTTTTAAGAAATATTTTAAATAAATAAATGTCAGCTTTGTTTCTGTCTTTCTCTTCTTAAAAAATAAATTATTTCTACACTTTATCCAGATTTGAGAAACATTAAATCTAAATGTAACCCCTTAAGTACATACATGTATTAAGGATACACCAAAGGTTTCCAAACGCTAGAATTTAATTTGCATGTAATTCTTTCATTATCAAAGATAACATAATAAAAGTATATATCATTTGAAAGCTTGTTAAATTTACTATTTAATTATCCTAATTTAAACTTTAATTAATAACTTATTTAAAAATTATTTAAATATTAATGTAAATTTTAGTGCTTAGATATTTTATAAATCAACTTTTTTGTATTTAACCCCTCAAAGTGGTCATTTTGCCTCAAGGTAGATTAAAGATTGAACTTAAAAACTGTATCTCAGATTTTTGATAAATCTTCTAATTCAAAAGTTACAGCCATTTGCCCTTCAATGTTACCAATTTATTAGCCTAATTTAACATTTCCCTCAATAATTCCAAAACTAAGCTAGATATCAAAAATCTGAGATACGGTTTTGTGAACACACATTTGAGAAGAAGCCCATCCAATTTTCAGAGAAATTGGTCAATAAATGAGGGAGCTGAATCCTTTGAAATAATACCACAAACTGTCTGATCTTACTTTACAGTAGAGGGCAAAAACCCATTACACAACAAAATCTGCCAAAGCTAGGAATATATGACACCTTGGAGATTCAGCTTTGGATACCTGTCACTTAGCGCTATTTCCTATGCATATTCACAAGAATGGGAGGTTCTTTTCTGTATTTAGATGCTTTTAATTAAGTAAAATAGGTTCAATTCTGAATCAGAAAGATTTCCCGGCAAAATGGCAAGAGCTAAGCTCCACCTCCTATTTTATGGTCATCAGTGATCTGTTAGATCTCCTTCTCTAAATCTAGAATCCCTGTAGTTTAATTACTGATAATCTCTTTGTGGCTAGTGAAGAATTCCCCAAGTGATCACAGTGATTTATTGCGTCTTTCATGAGCAGGCAGTCACAGATCAAATCAGAAGCTTCAATAACGGAACATTCACATGTGATAGTGTTTATGTTTCATTATTGTTAAATAATTAGAAAACCATTTCATAATTACCAAGAATTTTACATGCATTATAAAGCAGTGATTAACTTCTTTTTCTTAGCCAAAAATCTCAAAATTGTTGAAAATCTTGAAAAAAGCCTTTGGTGTATCCTTAAATAGATAACAATGCCAAAACTGAGACTGATAAATCTCAAAATACATGTACATTGAAAATGAAAATGAATTGATTTGTAAAAGTTTGTTTACCGTATCTTCCTGGATTTTGATGATTTTATCCTCAGTGGATAGTAAGTCTGACACCTTTTCATTGTAAATCTCCATATAACAACAGCGTACTAGGTACTCTCTGTCTGGAATCTTCAAAGAAATAAAGGAATTATAAGGTAGGCCTTGGACAAAATGGTTTCAACTTTATTTAAGGAATGAATTTACTAGCTACCCAATTTATATGGTATAAAGTGGGTTGGGGCAGATTACGCTTTATAAACCGCGAAACGGTTTATATGAAAAGCGTAAACTGTTCTAACCCACTTTATACCGTATAAATTGGGTAGCTATTAAATTCATTCCTTATAATTTAATTTTCATTCATTTAGTGTAAGAAAAAAGATTATTGCCCTTAAAAAATGACTTCAAATTGTACAAAATTTAAATGTAATGTCAGTTGGATCGATACGTTTTTGACACAAGTCATTGTGACGTAGGCAACCCAATTTATACGATATAAAGTAAATTTTTTATCCAATCACATACCGCATTATAACCAGAATTAAATTATTGTTAATTAAATGCAAATTATCATTTTTGTGTCACCTGCAGGGCAGAGTGACACTTATGGATCACTTAGTGACCTACTTTTAGAGTGTAATGCCACCACCCTCACCCCACCCCCCAGTGATGCTTTCATGATTCTAAGTGTAAAAGATATGACCTGGACACGAAAAAGTTAACAAAAGCATTCTATGACTTGTAAATAGATAGGCATATAAAACTTAAATCCCTCCATCCTGTAAACAACTATTTTAAGTTTATCTTCACAGTATTGATTTTAAGTACTTGATCATTATAAAGCTAATCTATATAAACCCATATTAAAAAAAATTCTCCTACCTACTTACCAATTTTTTTCATCCCAATTCAAGAGAAAGTGAGAAAGCAAGCAAACATTCTTAAAGATAGCCTCATGTATAAAGTTCTATATTGAGAAAAAATTAATGATGCAAACCTTGTCAATTCTTGTAAAAATTTCATTTACAGCCAGTTTAATGATTCCTGGATTCATAGCACTTCCTGACATTGTAAAGGTCTTGCCCGATGAACTCTGTCCATATGCGAAAATTGTTCCTTAAAAGAAAAATGAAAAAATCTGAAAAAGCAAATAAAGCTAGTTTTGCAAGAGTAGGGAACTAGCAAATGTTCATTGCCATGAAAAAGAATGATAATTTAAGTACTTTTCAAACAATGACCTCCTGTTCAAATGACACTTTAGCAACAAGAAAAAATGGATTTCAAAGTTGTAAGCATTTTTTCAATGAACAGTTTGTTTATGTCTACATTTGTTGATACAATAGGGTGTTTGACAATCTGAATGTTCAATAACATTAATCAATGTTAATCACGTCAATCATGTTAAATCTGAATACAAACTATGATACTAGTAATACATTGCTACTGTTAAACATTTTTTTTTTTAAAAACTGCCTCTAAATTATTTTTGTTACCATGGAAGCCTTGAACAGCAGCATCAATAATTGGTTTTGCAACTCCCTGGAACACATCATAGGTTGTCATGTGTTCATCAAATATTCTATCTGAAAATGGAACATTCATTGGTTGACTTTCAGAAATAACAAAAGAACTCTGTATTTGAAAAAAAAAGAGATAAAGACATTCCACATTCTTTACCAAAGGTGTAAGGTATCCCTGGTTTGCCATTCTGATCGAGGGGTTCCAATGTGTTGTCCTTGACATTCCACACCTTATTCTGTCCAGTATTGGCTTCCCTATAAGTATCAACAAAAGAATTAGTGATGTACAGGTAAATTTCAATTATCTTAATTTGTTATTAAAAACTTTGATGTTCACATATTAAAAAAAATTATCTAGATATATATGAAAACTAACCAATCTTAATAAAGTGTAAATAATGTATTTATATAGTTCACTATTGGTTAAATGATATTTCTATTTTCTAGTATAATTTGGTGTTCAGCAGTCTTGTAAAGAGTCTGATAAATCTATTCAAATAAAACAAACTTCCTACAATCAATGAACTATAATTATATCAACAATATCTTTAGTTCTCCCTTACTTTGCTATCAAAGGACGCACACGGATAGCCACCTGAATATTGTCCATCCCCCCTGCAAAATAAATCATTGTTATTAAATGGCTACATGGCAATGCATTTTTATAACAAAACTAAAACAGGGGTTCAAATTTATGGTGATCTGAGGTCCGGGACCTGATGTTTATGGGTCAGACTGGCTACTCAAGATAAGTCATCACCTACCAATAGTTTGCTAGACCAGTGGTATTAAGCAGAAAAAACAATATTTGAAAAGTATGAATAAAATTTTAAAAACCTTGTTGAAAGTGTTTACTTTGCAATTCTTGCAAAAGATTGGAAAATTAATCATGATAATCGGGATGAGCGGAAGGAGATATAATATCAAGAGATTTTATCTCCTGTCAGAAGAATCACAAATATGCATTTTTCATGTATCAATCAGACGTTCAGTATAAAAAAAAATACATACTAAGTTGCCTGTTTTGGAACATAACAGATGAAATTGATACTCCTGACCTCGGAAAACCATTATCAACATCTACTGATGCATCAGTAACAATGGTTTTTTTCTCTAGGTGTCAATTTTTGGCTGACACCTCCAAATTACTTTAGGAATGACTCTAATTCTTGGCCAAATTATTCGAGGATAACCTGGTTTGGGTCAGTTTACGCTTTATAATCCGCGAAGCCAAGGTTGACAATGGTGTTCGAAGGATGAAAATTTTCAATGCTACACTCAACTACATGCAATATTTATTATATTATACTGAATGTTTTATACAAATATATATAACAGTGAACCTTGTGCGCATAAGTTCTGCGCAGTCTCTAAGTCAATTTTTGGAATATCACCCATCATCAAGCAATATTGACTTGCTACGCTGGAGGGCATGGCTTCATCTTTTAGCAGGCAATAGTGTTTTTTAACAAATGTTTCTCGAGGAATCAGATTCAACTAATTTACATGAAAGTATATTATATATAATTACAGCAGCTGCAGCTTTTCAAAAGTTGGGTAATTTTACTATGAATGATTAATTTTATTACAAATTACCAGGGAACATTTGTCTACTATATTGAATTATCTGATATCACCTTACCATTCCAATTTATCTTAAGTACCCCTCTTCAATAATAAAAGACATAAGCATTATTAGACTAAAGTATGTCCTTGATTTACAGAAATTACACTAGCGCACCAGAGATAGCGAAGCTGAATGTGGGGGAAACATTTAGGTACGTTTCGTGTTATAGGCCCTATCATATTCTTTTTGCTATCGCCCATTAGATTATGCTAGTAAAAGATTTATGCCAAGCTAGGGTAACTAATTCTCAAGCCATAAACCCATAAAAATTATACTGTAACTGATGATGTTATGTTCAATATAAACAGAATAATTTGCATGATGTTCGGATGCCGGATGATCATAAGTTGTGGTTGGAAGCATTGAAATGTCAACTGTAAACTGATGACTAACGTAATTTGCTGCTTCTAAGAATACTGATGATTTTTCTTTCTCTGTTATGCACTTTCTTAATATAAATCGCATTTATTATTTAACAAATGGAACAAAAACATACCTATGCTTTTCTTTCATTCAAATCTTCCTCCATTTAACTGCAATAGCCAATGAAAACATTCCTTTCAAGGGACTACGGTATCGCTAAAACTCACGTCCGGATAAAAATGGAAATAATTTCATGCTTATTTAGGCCTGCCTATTTCAGGCCCGTAGAACACGGGAGGGGGAGGGGGCGGGAGGATCCGGCCCCCACTTTTTTCTGAGTATAGTACATGTATTTTACTTTAGTAAATTTTCCTTTAGATGCTGGTTGCCCCCCTTTTTTTTGATGTTGTAAGGTCGAGCACTGGCAAATTCCAGGATTTGTACAGTAAATTAGGTTTTTTTTCTTTTTTTTTCTTTTCTTTTTTTTTTTTGCTTGTCAGATATGGGAAGTTGCCCCCCCCCCTTTTGAAACCGTTGCTACGGGCCTGTATTTTTTGGTATTTTTGTAAAGTAACAGTTAACAGTAACAGTTAATGATATTTATAAACATATTATTATTTATATAAAAGTATCTTTCTTTTTTCTTCGAAATTATTTAATTTGTTATATCCCAAGATCAGATATCCACTTAATAGAAAATTATATGCGATTGATTGATTGATTGATTTATATCGACATTTATTACTATACACTCGAGATCACCTACTGCATCGTACGTATTTTACACTTTGAATGAAAGGGGGGGGGGGGGCAAATATGTTACTAAAAAATCTTAATAATACGATAAGAGGGAGAGGGCTATAAAAGGCTATGCATGCTGCCTAATCCCATTCACTTTTTGTGAATAAAATTATGTATAGATTAGAAAACATTTGGAATCCGGGAAAGTTTATTTGTTACCTGTATATGCAAGTTATTTTTTCTATAGATTATGTCGACATGCAAGATAATAATGTCAACAAGCAACATAAATATGTCAACAAGCAACATAACTATTTAAGAATTTAAAAATTATCAAACATCGTCTACATGTGACTTGCAACATGATATATGCAACATACTTATGCTGACATACATCTTATTTATGTCGACATGCAAATTATTTATGTTGACATGTGAGATAAATATGTCTACATGCAATTTATTTAATTAAAGGTGTGCTGCTTTCCGATTATATTATTTCAAAAGAGGCCATCTTCGCTAGCCAAGAGCTTCTGATACGCTACTCTCCTCATAAGCCCTTGGCATACGGTGTTAAAAAAAGTTGGGATTTTTTTTTCTCAAGTTGTGATTGGAGTTGATCAACATCGTTCGACCAATTAGCAATTGTTTTTTGTAAATGACGATATTTGCGTTCGGGATATATCTTGACTCTTTAATATCAGTAATGTAAAACGCAAGTAAACAATGATCCGTAAGATAACATGCCATTCTATGAATAGCAATGTGGTGTCATCCAATTTCTAAAGCAACGTGCAAATTAATATGTGATTAAGAATCTATACTGAAGATTTGCATTTTTACATGTTTAAATAACAAATTAACATAACTCAATACCTTCTTGTTAATTATTCTTTAAAAACAATTTTTTTTAAAATACGCTTTTTATTTCTGTCGATGACGCAATCTGTGCGTACCTGGTAAGAATCATGATCACGTGACAAAAACAATCCCGTCTTTTGTCAGCACCGTATGCCAAGGGTAGCGTATCAGAAATCCTTGGCTAGCGAAGATGAAAAGAGGCAAGTTTTTGCATAAAACGTTTGCAAAAAAATTAAAACACAAACTACTTATCTAAATCATTGTATATAGCAAAATATAACATAATATTAGACATGGGTATCTTGCGTTTAGTGATTATGGCTCCCTTAACCGAGAGCAACCCCTGCTCTCCTCATTAAAATGGGGGGGGGGGTCTGAGAATATTGTCAGTATCTTGATCGAAGATGGAGGTATGCACCTCAAATTCTGACCATTCGGAAAGGGGGGGGGGGATATTAGATAGATAGTTATGGATAAGTGTAAACTTTAGATTTAACCTTTTATAATGCAACACATTTTCATTGAAAGTGTAAATTAATGTTTGCGATTCTGGGAAGTGATTAAGAGTCAGATACCGTGTGTTATTATAATACTATGGGGTAAAAAATTTATAACAAAAACAAGTGCCTAAATGAAATAAACATGAAGTAAAAGATCAACAAATACTTTATTAATTACAATGTAATCCAAAGACACACTATTACAAAAAGTTTTTCAAGGATAAAGCAATTTATAGAACTTCACAATTTTACAATTTATTAAAATGAAAGACACATGCATCAGAAAATAATTTGATATAACAAAAGAACTTCATGAAGAAACAATTTAATTGTATCAAGTTTAATCACAAACTACGTGTAAAATACTTCTCTGAGTTTTCAATTTCTTTGAATATTACAGAAGATCTATTTCAGCTTATTTAGCTTAATATTCCTTTGAGAAGTTTATACTTTAAGTTACACGCAATCTGCCAAATTTATACAGAAAAAACAGGTTATTTGGAATAAGAGCTTTTGAGCTTGTGCAAAATTTGGGACTTGAAATGAAAAATAAAACTTTCTGAGTTGGTTTATCCTTAATTTAAAGTTCTCTGGTTTATTTGGTTCCCCCGTCTAGCTCACGATATTTTCCTTGTGTATGTGGGAAAAATATAATCAGTGCAGCACCTTAATTTAAACATTAAATTGAAATTCATATGAATAAACATCGATATCTTAATTGAATTATTGAGAAATAATAACAATAATAGAATGATAAGGACGTGAAATTAGACATTTTGTTACGGAATAAATTGTGGGGAAAACATTTGAACTTCAGCTTTAAATAAGTTTAATTCTGAGAAATCGGGAATGAACAATTTTTAAGAATCATAGTTTTTGTTGTTGTTGTTGTTGTTTTAATAAGAGAGGAAATTTAATACCGGAATACATGTAATACTAATGTGATTTAGTTTTCCTTTCAAGAAATCAATTTAATGAGCTAAATTTTCCTATACTTAAACTTAATGTAATGCAATTTTCTTGATAAATGTAATTTTATAGATATGGATAATTGATTTTTTTTAAAATGCATGAAAACCAAAGGCTGATTTGTAATTTCAATCAAAAGTTGTCAAACCACAACAAAAAAGTCGGTGAAATATTCGCTCATAAACAAATTTAAAAAATCAAACAAGAACAAAAAAAAAAAAAACAAAAACAAAAACAAAACAACAAAAAAAGAAGAAAAAACACACACACGCACACAAAAAACAAACAAATAAAAAATGAATATCAACGGAAAAAAAAACAAAAAACAAAAAAGGAAACAACAAATAAAACAAACAAAATAAAGAACAAAAACAATAACCCCCCCCCCCCAAAAAAGTCTAACAAACAAACGAAAAAATAAATACATTACAAAGGGGTAATTAAACAAAAGGGGAAGACACAACTAAGCAACTAAGCAACACATATAAAGATACAACAGAGCTACACAGGAATTGGAATAGTGCATGGTTACGTAAACAGTAGCACTTGTGAGGAAATGAAAACTGACGACGCATACACACACACACACACAGACACGATGAAGAAGAAACAGAAGGTGATGCCATATACAGAGACCAAAACAAAACGAAACAAAACAAACAACCACAATAGAAAAATTGGGAAGTTGACGCCGACAGAGAAGCACAGGAAGAAACAAAAGATGAGACAAACAGGACGATATATCGACACAGACGAAGAAAAATCACAAGGATTGCCAGAACAGCAACACTTAACATGTAATGTGTAGTTACAATAGAATAAGGTGGCAATGTAGATAAGGACAAAGAAGACAGATGATGACAAACATAGAGGGAGGAGGGTTGTTAGTAATGGGAATCAGACAAGGGATAAGACCTACAAAAAAAAAAAAACATACAAGAAACAGGAATTAAGATAATACCTGTATATGAAAAGAAGGCACAACAGTAGAATCATAGATAAAACAATATTTTGGACATAGAAGGGAAAATATCGGATCTGGATGAAATTAAATTGGAATTGTGATATTGAATATTTCTGTAGAAATTTCTAAATTGCATTATCAAAAATCAGCTCTTATATACTCTTACGACTAAGTAGGCCGGAAATAATTCTATTGTCTATTGCATGAATGTTTCTGTAATATATTGTGAAAATGGTCGAAGAAGAATCAAACTATCTAAAACAATTCCAAAAATATACTTGCAAATATGGGAGAAAAATTATTTTTTTCTATCATTTAGAATATACAGGAAAATATCGAAGCTAGAACAAAGGATAAAGAGTACATTTTCTTTTTGTACTAAAAAGGGGGTATTTTGATCTACTTTTAAATTAATATTTGGAGATTGCGTGTAAAATTGATATATATTACCGGGGATACATTATTATTATTTTGGATCTGTGATTCATGTACTGAAATTTATCAAAGCCGATTTTCGATTTTTATATCTAAGTCAAAAAAAGTTAAATTCCATCCAAAAAAAGTTTATGTATACTACAGATAAAAAGAAATTAAACCCAGGTCCCCAAATCCTCTTCTTGTGGTGGTGGTGGCGGTGGTGGTGGATGCCAGAAACTCTGTAATTTTTGCCACAGCCAGCTGCATACCCTCACTATTCCACACTTAATAAAATTGTAGACAGTATATAAGATTCCATGGGGAGGAGATCTTGGTACATTGCCGTTACGTTCGCAATGCTCGTTTACACTTTGTGCTATTTCTTCCAATACACTTATCAGGTCCTGGAGTTGCGGATTTCTCACTGGAGGACTACTGAATGAAAATCCTTTACAAAAAATTGAATTGTACAAGTTAACGAATAATTAACAAATAATTGAATGATAAAGAGATTTGGTCCATAATTTTGCGTGTATTAAGATAGAAAATTGCATTTCGTGCATAAATGGTATTGTCTTCCCACAAATTTTTATTAAAATGTAAAATTTGGTCTTCTGACTTTAGTCATAATTTTTTTTCAAAATATAAAATTTGGTGTTTTGACTATAGTCATAACACCAAATTATTTATTTTAATTAAAAAAAAATTGTGGGAAGACAGTTT